GAAAACAATAGGTCTGGGTGGCGTTTGTCTGTTGGGTGGGTGGCAGGGGGAAGGCAAGCCTCCCTGCTGCTGGGCTGTTCATCCAATCATGAGGTCTAAAATCAGCTCACCTTCTTACCACTTTCCAGAGTTCTGCTTTGGTTTTCTGCTGCATCATGTCCAGAATTTATAATTGTGATTTGTGGGGAGGCTAATAAATCAGATTGGAAGTCAGAGTCTATCAAACAGACTTTTGGAAAAGCAAATAGTTTAGTATAAACCAAAAATAAAATTCTAAGCCCCCCAACCAATTGAATAGACTCCCCTTGGCCAAAGGAATGCCAAAGAAACCTGAAAAAAACTAATTCAGGCTATGACAGGAAAAGGGGGGCAGTTGGACATGCCTGTTATAATCTCTTCACTTGGAGTTTAGGCACAACAGGCCAGCATTAACAATAAAATATAGATCATAAGACTAACAAAGCAGACTGTTTGTAGCAATAAGATACCAAAGTCTGACCAGACTGGTACAGCATCACAGGACAGATAGGAGATCCTATCCTATCTTTGAAGCAATTCAAAGTATTTTACCCCCAAATATATTTTCTTTTACATATTTTGATATGGCTCTGCAAAGTCATCTCTTGTAAGGAAAATTGTAGAGAATCTTCTTCCCTTTCTAGGTCTTTTTCTAATCCAGGAGAGATTTAACTGAGAATCTAACACCTTTTATGGTCTAAGAAAAGACATTTACCATCGATTTTCTCTGAAGCCTACTACCTGAGGCTTCATCAACATAACAAAACCCTGGCTTCCATAACTCCCTTATCTTAATTCAGGCATTTGTTTCTACTGACTTCAACTCCTTAGGCAAAACTTCACTCTTTCAAACAATTGCCAATCAGAAAATCTTTGAATCCACCAACGACTTGTAAGCTCCTTCACCCTTTAGATGTCCCAATGATCCACTTTCCAAGCTGAACCAATATATACCTTTCATGAACTGACATATGTATTTGCATGTAACTTCTGTTAGCACTGTAAACCTACCACCTCTGTAATTCAACCAGTTGAGGCACATGTTCTCCAGACCTCTTGAAGCTGGGCTGTGGGCCATGGTCATTCTTATTTGACTCAGAATAAACCTTTTCAAATATTTTAGACTTTGGCTTTTTTCATCAAGATAAGGAACTTGTTATTTAAATATAAAAGGTGAACTGGTATATCAAGAGCCACACTTGACCCTTTATGCAAGATTGAACAGAAATTTTACTTGGAAAATGTGTGTTATATCCCCAATTAATCAATGTTCTTGTATTATTAAAATGTTTTTTTCTTTTTTCCCTTTATCAAAAACAGAGTCTGGGCTAAGTTCCAATTTGAAATAAATATAGTGAACTTCCAAATTCTCTTGGCAGTGTAAATCACATGCAGATTTCTTCATGTTCTGTCTTTAACTTGTGGAACAGAACATTTGCGTACGTTGAGATAGATGCTGAGTTCTACCAAAAGCTACCTGGAGAGAAAACACCTTTCAATTAATTATTCCACCAGATTTATAAGAATACCAAAGCCTGCGAAGTTGTGTATTTGAGTAAGCACTCTATTTTTCTCCCTGATTGAAACACACTTATTTTTCTTGCCATAGTTTTTGGATCTGTTTAACACTTTTGTAAACATAAAGAGGTTTGTTTGCTAAACAAACAAACAAAAATTCATGTTGACATTCACAAATGCAACATTTGGGTGGTGTACTAATTCAAGCCAATGAATCTTTACTCACCTCAGTTCTCTCACCTCCCACATGACAGTCCTACTGCAGAAGGAGAGAGTCTCCACCTTTACTTCTCAATTGAAACTTTCCAGCTAAATACCTGTGGAGGACAAAGCAACTCTATTTTGGATGCTGATCTTTCATGTTGCTTTTTGTTTAATGACATTCCTGGGAAGGCCTTTAAGATTTCCAGTTTCTCTATTATTCCTTATATAAGGGCGCGTACTTACCTAAATGTACTGCCCTTACGTCAAAACAACCTTGATGTTATTGTACTTCAATTGTCCTACATATCCGTTCTGAATCACATGTTCTTTCTCTATGGCAAATAAACTCTGAGGCTGGTGGGTAATGTTGCAGGAATCCACTATCTTGTCTTGCTTCCATCTGAGACACAGACCTGGTTTCTGTTTGTAAATCCTTATTAAATGTTTTCTTCTGAGAAACTGGATATGTCAGTCTCTTTCTTCAGCTTCTCAGCTTTCTTGGACTTGGAGGTAGGTTTTCATAGACCTGCTCACTATAGAACATCTCTTTGCTCTTATTTCCTTCTTAAAACCTGCTGGACTAGAGCTCTGACATGATAAATTATTTTGTATTTAAATATCATCCTATTTTTGTTCACAATATGAAATTTTGAAGCATAAGACTGGAAAGTATTCAAAATTCCCAAGATAACCAACTCAGTCTTTTCAAGGAGGACAAATTTAAACCAAAGAATTTACATTATATTTCAGGACCTTCAGAGAAATAAATTTCATAATATCTTTTGTAGATATGTAAACCAAAATGTATCTGAGACAGATCTCACTTTATTTAGAAGTTTATTTTGCCAAAGTTAAGGATGTGCCCATGACACAGACTCAGGAGGTCCTGAGAACATGTGCCCAAGGGTTGGGCTACAGCTTGGTTTTATATGTTTTAGGAAGACACAAGACATCAATCAATACATGTAAAATGTATGTTGGTTTAGTCTGAAAAGGTGGAAGGACTCAAAGAGGGACTGGTTGGCAGGCTTTCAGGTCATGGGTGAATTCAAAGATTTCCTGATTGGCCATTGGTTGAAAGGGTTTCTCTAAAAACCTGGAATCAATAGAAGGGAGTGTCTGGGTTATGATAAGAAATTGTGGAGATGGAGGCTTTTATTATGTAGATGAAGTCTCCAGGTATCCGGCTTCAGGGAGAATTGATTGCAAATATTTCTTATCAGACTTAAAAAGGTGCCAGACTCTTAGTTAATTCTTTTCTGGAAAAAGACCTGGAAAGGGAAGAAGATTCACTACAGAATTTAGATTTTCCCCACAAGAGGCAGCTTTGCAGGGCCATTTCAAAATATACCAAAGAAATACATTTTGGGGTAAAATACTTTGATTTCTTTTAGGGCCTGCTATCTGTCATGTTGGCATCTTGTTGCTATGCAGAGTTGACTTTGTAAGTCTTAAGGTCTCTGTTTTAATGTTAATGCTAGTCAGCTGTGCCTGAATTCCAGTGGGAGGAAAGTATAATGAGGTTTGTCTGATCCCCACATCCCCTCATGGCCTGAACTAGCTTTTCAGGTTAACTTAAGAATGCCCCTGCATGAGAGGAGGGTTCCATTTAATTGGTTGGGGAGCTTAGAATTTTATTTTTGGTTTATAGATACATTCTAATATCAAATATCTTTAATTATTTCCAAGTGGATTTCTCCAAGTAACTAAGCCATTCTTCAAAAAAAATTTTTTCACTAGATGAAAATCTTTTATTATTGTACTTCCTTATGCAATTTGAAAACTAAAACTAAATTTCCAGAACAGTAGTATTTTATGGTTACATATTCTTTAAGAACATGATGAGGGCTGGGCACTGTGGCTCATACCTGTAATCCCAGCACTTTGAGAGACCAAGGTGTGGAGACCACTTGACCCCAGCGTGAGACCAGCCTGGGCAACATGTTGAAATCCTGTCTCTACACAAAACACAAAAATTAGCCAGGAGTGGTGGAGCACACCTGTGGTCCCAGCTACTTGGGAGGGCAAGGTGAGAGGATCACTTGAGCCTGGGAGGTTGTGGTTGCAGTGAGCCAAGATCATACCGCTGCACTCCAGCCTGGGTGACAGAGTGAGACACTGTCCCCCAACCCCTCATAAAAAATAACCTGATGAAAGCTATGAATTTCTATAAAAGAGAATACATACAATTGTGGGAGGTTTAGGTGCCACCTGAATCTCATCCCAGGTTAAGAACCCCTGCTCTGGAGTATAGATGTTTTTTCTCAGAACTCTTGAGGTGTTTCTTTTAAGTTTCAAAATCTCTAATATGGACCATTTCAGGAAGTGGAATCCAAAGTTGGATTTGAGTGTGTCAGTTTTGATTCTTTGGTTTTATATAACAGAAACAAACTCCGGTTAAACTGAAGAAAAAAAGCCATTGAAAATGTATTTGAGTAAATCATAGGTTTGGAAAAAAGAAAACAAACAAACAAACAAACAAAAACACCCAAACCAGAAAAGATAGAAGTGATACTAATTTAATGGACAGTCTCCTTGAGATGCTGTTTATGACTCAGCTTTGGCTCTTTTGTTGCTCTTACAGAACAAAACTGGGGTCCACTTGCCAGGTGCAGTAAAACCAGATATCCACACAGAGGTTTTTGCAGAGACAGAAAGGAAGCCATTATTATTTGCAGGTACCAAGCAAGTAAGACCAGGCAGCTAATGCTCAAATTTTGACTTCCTTGATGGTTTGGTGGTAATGGTTTTTAAAGGCAGGGGAAAATTTCAGGAAAGTAGAAGCCACAGACCAAATCATAAATCAATATATGGAGGTTGCACATTGGTTTTGGCCTAAAAGGGTGGGATATGTTGAAGGGGGGCTTATAGGTGGTAGGTATATTAGAAAACTTTCTGACTTATAATTGTTAAGGGAGAGAGAAGCTTTGTTTAAAAATCTGGGGTCAGCAGAAAAAAAAAAGTGTTAACTGGCGTGGGGCTGTGACTCCCTCCAAACTCCTCAGGAAGAAATTTAGAACAAAGTACAGTGGTCAGAGTTTAGTGTCCAATATTCCTTATCTAGGGTTTATGTGCCAGTGAATCTGTTTATGGGATCTCGGTGGGAGACTGGTTTTCTGAAAGACAACTGTGGGACATTCGTTAAAATGCTATATTTAGTTTCTATAGGAAACCAAACATCTCTGGACTCAAACCTCCTTGGCTGTTGTTTGAGGCTATTATTGCCGTTTTGCTAATCAGGCTACTTACTTACTTCTCAGGGTTAACTAGGTACCTGGAACTTCCCTTGAAGGAATTCAAGATTTTCCTTCTTTTCTATGCTGGCGTGGCCTGCAGGCCCCTAAAATGGGACTCTCTACTCCGTCTCATTTCTGCTACTAAAAAACAGTGGAAGGGATGTGAAGTAGAAGGCAACAACAACTAAAAAAGTCTGTTAAAATAGTCACAGGCTTCTGAGAAGGTGACAATGGAAACCATCACTTTCTGTTATTTTAACTGTCTTTGATATTTTTATTGTGGCCACAAGGATTCTCCTTCCTCTTATTACTTTATGTCTACATACAACAGACTCATATGAATTCTGAGAAACCAGGTTGGTCAGCCTCCAAGGACATATTTTCAAACAGCCACTTCCAATGTAACTAGTGAGTATAACAGACAAGAAGATATTCTCAGAAGGTGGATATGGGGGCATGGAGATCAACTGAATGGAGAGGAGTTATTAGAATACAGAATCAGACCTGATCAAGGACCTGTCACCACCTTTCAATGGGGCCTTCACAATGTCTACCCTGAGGGATTTCAGAACTGCTAAGTGCTGTCTCCCATTCTTCCCCTTTCTGTATGAAAGTATTGTTTATTCCTAGGTCCAACATTCTATGTTAGATATGTGTAGGGGAAGCAGGTAAAAAACGAAGACACACAATTCTGGCCAAAGGAACATCTCACTGTAATGGCATGACTATGAGTTTCCAGATCAGTGACTCCCTGTTTGCCTTAGTAGTGTATAAATTAGAATCCTATTTGGAAAATAAAGCTGTTTCTACTAGAATATGATCCATGACTTCTGTAAACATTGTAAAATATCATTGTTGACAACCTGCCATCTGGTGTTATCACGGTCTCTTAAGAATGTGAATCTTTTTCTAAAGCCCTGTAAACTGTGTTTTTCAATATCTTCACTTAAAGACTAATATGATGGATTTTTGAAAATTACCATAAGTTTTGATATAGCCCCTTTTAAACAACAGTCTAATAGTTAAAACAATGCAAATACGTAATATATTCATCCATATCCTATTTTGTGAGGTTTTGGGCTAGATTCTATGGGTGAGTAAAAATAACCTAATGATGGCTGGGTGCAGTGGCTCACACCTTTAATCCCAGAACTTTGGGAAGCTGAGGCGGGTGGATCACAAGGTCAGGAGATTGAGACCATCCTGGCTAACACAGTGAAACCCCGTCTCTGCTAAAATAAAATACAAAAAATTAGCCGGGTGTGGTGGCGGGTGCCTGTAGTCCCAGCTACTCAGGAGGCTGAAGCAGGAGAATGGCATGAACCCGGGAGGCAGAGCTTGCAGTGAGCCAAGATCGCGCCACTGCACTCCAGCCTGGGTGACAGCGAGACTCCGTCTCAAAAAAAAAAAAAAAAAAAGAAAAAACCTATCAATTATCATATAGTTATTTCTTACACTCGAGATTATAGCCCATTAAAATGAAATCTTATACAAAGTATTATAAAAATGGTCTTTAGTGTGACAATCTAGTTAAACAATAATGACACAACTGAAAAAATAAAACCAATCAGCCAATATTGTGGCACCCATAGTACTGAAGACTAAAGGCTACTGAACTCTCCAAATGACTTATGAGCAGCTCATTAGGAATGTGAACTTCTTTCAAGAAAGTGTGTATCATATCTGCAAATTACAAATTCAGCCCTTTGAATTTTCCCATGTTTTCTTCATCTTTGTCTTTATGGAACCAGAAATAACTAATGAGGTGACTTAAATGTTGACACATGAAAAAGGAAAAGTAAACATAAAGAATCTGTATGATTCATTAATTGGAAATTAGTCTTTACATTCTAGTTGACTATTCTAAGAACTGTTTTCATGGTAGCTAATGTTAATAATTTAATGGCTTTAGATGATGTGCTAAAGAAATGATGATTCTTAAAAAGCTTTAATATTATTTTCCAAAGGTGGTTTTGCACACATAATATTATAAAATACACAAACTTTGGACCCATGCTACACCAGAAGTAACTGAGCTAAAAATTAGCTAAATTAATACAGAAATATACAAATACTTCAGAGTTCCTTTAGAATAAATTCATAGCAACCATTTTGTATTATTAATGTAATGGTTATTGATCAGGTTGTATCTAATATGGTTTTCACATTTGCACAAGTCTAAACTTTCTGGTGAAAATAGCAAGTTTTTCCAAGCTCTTTCAAATGTTATAGTGATGTTAACAAAGTTAGCCCATTTTCACCAATGAGCCATAGTCATGACTTAAATTATTTATTTATTTAAATATTAACTGATTAGTCTTTATTATGTGACATATTTAGAGTGTTTCCACAAAGTCAAACATTTTTTTATGAGGTTTTTTTGTATCTATCTGAATGTATCAATCATCTACAATGGAATGAGAGATGCCCAGATGCTATCTGAATTGATGATTCTGAAATCAACAGCTTGATTAACAGTGACAATAAAGAGTATCATTATGTTATATACCAGATGGAAAGGGTATTTGCAAATTAGATAAGTGAATTTTCCTAATTAGCAAAATAAATTAAAAATGCTTGGTTTATTTGAATTTAGAATTGTTTAAAGTCATGAAAATATACATATGCATAGTAGGGTTGTTTGTTACATAAGTTCACTTCAAAAATAAATCATACATGTGGTAATGCTGCCATCTGTGCCTGACCAAAAAAGTAAAAAACAAGGATGTTTAGCTTAAAGTTCTAAGCACATTCAATAGGTAATGAAGCTATTCCATAAAAACACATCTGTGGTTGGAAACTATTTTATGTAAATTAAAATGACTAAAATCTGTTTTATAATTGATTAGACTAAATACTTTATGACAATTTGAAACAAAGTTTCTTCATAATGTTACTTTCAGAGATATTCTATGAAGATTACTGAAAGCTGTTATTAATATGGTATAAATAAACCCACCCAGGGTAGGGCCCAAACCAGGGGATGGAGGTGGTAAGATGCATGTGAAACTGCCTTTGCAAAATTATAACAGTAAGAGAAATCTAACACAACTGACTCTACCTTGCTTCTAAGCTCAAGCTACCTGCCTTTTCTCATTCCTGTATGTAGGCCAAGCCAGCTACGGGAGGAATTCAGTTTATAGTTTAAAGCAAGGATGATACTAGTTCGGTCCCAAAACTACCCGCCTCCTTGTTTGGGGACTGAAAGTGGTTATATCAGACAATGAAAGATCACAAGGTTACAATTATGTTGGGGGCTTGAATTCTGCTAAGATATAGGCATAGTTAAACAATAGCTGGTAATTGTTCCCTAGCTTGCTTTTTTATAATTGCTTACTGCTCAGGAGTCTTGTACCCAATGCTCACACATTTCATAACTTCACCAATTGCTCTTACAGGAAACTTGTGAAACTTGAGACTGGTCTTTGAAATATTTTTCAGACTTTGCATTCTGGTAGACCACCTGATGCCACCCAGACCCATGACCCATACCAAAGAACTTGATTCAACCGGTTCTGTGATTCCCACCCATGAAGTGACTCAGGACATGAAGACAGTTTTGACACCCCTATAATTTCATCCCTGACCAAATAAATCAGCAGTTCCCATTCCTTAGCCCCCACAAACACCAAATCATCCTTAAAAACCCTCACCTCCAAATTCATGGGGAGGCAGATTTGAGAGATATTGCCCATCCTTCCCACTCAGCTGACCTGCAATTATTAAATTTCTTTCTTTGCTGCAACACCTACTGTCTCAGTGTATTGGTGTTTTCCATGCAATGGTCAAGAAGAACCTCACTGGGCTGTAATATGTGTTTTGTTTTTCTGAGAAAAGTTCTATTATTATGTGGTTTCTTTTGCCAATTCTCTCTTTATTTCCCTGCTTTTCAAAGGGCAATGAATGCAAGGTTTTGTTTCGAATGAGACAGGAACAGAATATCAGTTAACAGATCAGAGTTTACACACTTATTTTTTTGTGTGCAAACAAACTAAATATAATGAGGGGCTCTAGGACTAGAATTCAGTGTTTTGTTTGAAAACTTGATGCCTAGAATCCAGCCAGTTAAAAGTTTATTAAAACTATCAGCAGTTTTTAGATTCATTTAAATGAAGACAGTTACATTTCCAAAAACACTTTAGTGAGTACTTTGATTGTGGAAAAGGGGAAGCTACAATCTTTTTTTTAGTGGAGTTGTTGGATGCAATGAGGAGTTAAATTACTCCATATAATGGTGCTTCTTTATCACCATAATTGTGCCTCAGGTATTATTTCTATCATCTCAAAGGCAGGCCTATGTCTGCAGAACAAGAACACTGTTTCCTCTGCCCTTATACCAGCCCAGAGAAGGGACAGCTTGATCTTGAAGTACTTGAATGGCTGAAAAAAGGTAGATGGTAGGAGACTAAAGAAAAAGAAACCAAATGGGGGGCCAGATATTTTGCCAAAGACAATGGCCTATGGATTGTAGGAACTGTACATGCTTTATAGATATACCCTGGTTTACTCAATATGATCACACACATGTATATTGGCAATGTATTCCAATAGTCATTTATTAACTGTGATCCATAGACATTACTATCTCAGCTTCTCAGCACTCTACTATTCTACATGGGAATAATGTTCTCCATGGAGACAGTGCCTCTTCTAGGGAATATTTAGGAAATACATGGGGACATTTTTGGTTGTCCCAATAATAAGAGACACCTGCTATTTAGTGGTTGAAGACCAAGAATATTAGCCATCCTGTCATTTTTGAGTGAGTCACATGCAACAGAGAATTGTTTTACCTTCTATTTGATTTGAATGGCCCACCATTCATATGGTTGAAAAGTAAGTTAGTGATCAAAGAATCTAATTCTGTGAGACATATAAAGTTGAAGTATTTTTTTGTCCAATTTTAATGTTCATTGAATATTTCAGAAATAAAATCATTGCATTGTTAGGGCTCAGAAAATGATACCCCATAATACGGCACCTTAACATGCTGAAGTGAAGAAGCCACAAGATCTGAGCTTCACTCTCCCACTACGAAATACAAACCCCCCAACCTGCACTCATCTCTCAATCCTGTGTCTCCAATTAAATGTTAGTTAATTAATTAAATATTAAGTATTTAATTAGAATATTATTCCATTAACATTTAAATGTAATCTTATGTTTAATATACAGATTGATGTGTTTTGTCAGTTAACTACTTTTTGATGACTTTACAGCTTCATGATTGTCTCCTAAACTACTATAATCTGCTATTGAACTTAATTATTGAGTTATTAAATCCAGTAATATTTTATGTTTTAACTTTTCCATTGATCATTTTATCATGTAAACTTTTTATTGAAAGATACATAAACACAGATATGTAAATAAATTTTAAGTTTACTGATCCATAAATATTTACAAAGAAGGACAGTTGCTTACACCTGTAACCCCAGCTCTTTGGGAGGCTGAGGTGGGCAGATCACTTGAGGTCAGGAGTTTGAGACCAGCCTGAGCAACATGGTGAAACCTTGTCTCTACTAAAAGTACAAAAATTAGCTGGGTGTGGTGGTGAGCACCTGTAATTTCAGCTACTTGGGAGGCTGAGGCATGAGAATCACTTGAACCTGGGAGACAGAGGTTGCAGTGAGTCGAGATCACGCCATTGCACTCCAGCCTGGGAGACAGAGTAAGACTTCATCTCAAAAAATTAATTTTTTTTTTTACAAAGTAAACTACCTGTGTTACAGTCATTCATATCAATATTGAGATTATTATCAGCATCTAGAACGGCCTGTAATGATAATTCCTGATACCATTTACTCCTTAAATTTAACCATTATTATGACTTTTAACACCACAGATCAGCTTTCCTAGGTGTTGAAACATAAATGCATAAAATATTTATTAAAATCATCCATGGTATGGAGCATAGCAGTGGTTCCTTTATTCTGATTATTGCATAGTATTTAATCATATAAAAACACCATGATTTGCTGATGTGCTTATTGTACTATGAATGGAAATTTGAGTTTTCCCCAATTT